ATGAATCAGAAAGAGATATTTTAAGGATATTTTACTTCTTAATAGTAAGAATATTTCACTTCTTATCAGTAAGGATATTTTACATCTTAAAAGTAAGGATTTTTCACTTCTTATCAGTAAGGATATTATACTTCTTATCAGTAAGGATATTTTACTTCTTAATAGTAAGGATATTTCAATTCTTATCAGTAAGGATATTTTACTTCTTAATAGTAAGGATATTTCACTTCTTATCAGTAAGGATATTTCACTTCTTATCAGTAAGGATATTTCACTTCTTATCAGTAAGGATATTTTACTTCTTAATAGTAAGGAAATTTCAATTCTTATCAGTAAGGATATTTTACTTCTTAATAATAAGGATATTTCACTTCTTATCAGTAAGGATATTTTACTTCTTAATAATAAGGATATTTCACTTCTTATCAGTAAGGATATTTTACTTCTTAATAATAAGGATATTTCACTTCTTATCAGTAAGGATATTTTACTTGTTATCGATACATTTATGAACAAAAAAACGAAGGCTCAATAAATCTAGCACCTCACCAGTGTATGTCTTTTCTTTAGCGACTCCTGACTTCCTAAGTTCGAGGCACTCATGGAAGTTGGCCAAGTTGAATGGCACTGTCGAGTCCCACTGCCAGATGCCGGTGTGTCTGGTTTTTAAATATTAAGTTTAAAGTGAATGATGTCTAAATCTTTATTAAGTTGTGCTGCTGAATGGCATTTTATCTGATAGGCATAATGTGAACATCGATAATAAAATGTTAGAAACTAATCAGAATGGTGTAAATGTTAACATCATGTGTTAATAGAACTAAATTTATAGTATGGCGCAGATAGGCAAATCCTTAGTGAATTCTCTCTCTCTCTCTCTCTCTCTCTCTCTCTCTCTTTACGTCTGTATGGCTGTCTGTCTGAGTCTGTATCTGTGTCTCAATCTCGGTTTTGGTCTCGGTCTCAGTCTCAGTCTCAGTCTCAGTCTCAGTTTCAGTCTCAGTCTCGGTCTCGGTCTCGGTCTCGGTCTCGGTCTCAATCTCGGTCTCGGTCTCAGTCTCAGCCGTAGTCTCTGTCTCAGTCGTAGTCTTAGTCTCAGTCTTAGTCTCTCTCTCTCTCTTTCTCTCTCTCTCTCTCTCTCTCTCTCTCTCTCTCTCTCTCTCTCTCTCTCTCTCTCTCTCTCTCTCTCTCTCTCTCTCTACGTCCCTCTCCCTCTCAGCTATTTATCCATACGAGTATCTCCCTCACACACACACACTTTGTACCTTAAGTAGGTTTCCCATAGCCAAATGTCCATGAAAGGGACACCATCTCGAAACTGATTCATGTACACAATCTGTTCCCAAAACTTTTTCCTGTTGGTGTTCCAGGGCGTGTGGCTTCTCGGTCTCGAAGTTGAACCAGCGGTATCTTATGGAAGAAAATAATTATTTAGTTGTTTAGTTACTGTGAATTTACCTCGTTTGAGTGTAGAACTAATTAACAAGAAAAAAACTGATTTAAACCTGAATTCTAATATTCACTTTGAAAAATGTTGTAAATAAAGTTTATATGATCTTAGATTATGCAGTATATCTTACAAAAATATACAAGATTTTTTATCTTAAGTCTACTGATTATCTTAAAACACATATATACTAGAAACGTTTATATGATCCTAAATTCTACTATTTATCTTAAAAAATATATATGCAAGAAACGTTTATATGATCCTAAATTCTACTGTTAATCTTTTAAAAAATATACAAGATACGTTGATATAAACCTAAATTATACTACCTATCTTTAAAAAAAAACAGTTATCCAGAAAGTACGACAACTCCCTACCGACTCTGATGCCACCACAGGACGTTGGTTCTCGCTGCCAGACGTACGAGAGGAGCCACCAAGGGACGCAGAAGGAACGCTGCTTCAGTATAAGGAACCAGTTCATTCAGGTTCTCCTTCTGCAACATCACCCACTTCCCGAATCCTGTTGGTTGTTGCTAGTTTAGCTTCGTACAACATGTTGAGGTGTAGTGTAATGGTGCGACAAAGATATTTGAACCTGACGTAAAAGCATTCTGGTTATCAATTATATATAGTTCCTGTCTTTGTTATGAAAAAAATGACTTCATTATTTTTTGGAGCAGCTAACATAAACATGCAGAAAAAAAACTAAAGATCACACTGGTAAAATATGCAAGTGTACTGGTCCTAACACCCAAAATTTTGGATCTGAGGCTGATTAATATTTGTTGCATCCATTGCTATCCATAAGCCGTTCAACCCAAAAAATGTATTATTATTATTATTATTATTATTATTATTATTATTATTATCATCATCAGTATTATTATTATTACTATTATTATGGTTGTTGTTGTTTTATTGTTATTCTTATTCTTATCATTATTATTATCATTATTATTATTATTTCCATGGCTATCATTATTATTATCACATTTATCATTATTATTATCATTATCATTATTATTGTTACTAATATTATTTTCGTTATTCTTATTACTATTACAATTATTATCATTATTATCATTATTATTATTATCATTATCCTCATCATCATCATTATTATTTTATCATTTTTTACAAAGTTAAATGAAGAACTCGCCAAGAACGATGACGTCAGGGATGACCTCTTGCCCCGCCCACTCCTCCAGCCTCTTGACCTTGATCCTCTCTTTCATGGTAGGAGTAGTCGCTCGAGACCCCAGAGGCGCCCACACCAAGGTCAACCTCAGCTCGTAGGCCTCGAGGGGGACCTCCGAATCGCGAAGACCGAAGATGGAGAAATCTGCGTGAGTCGAGTTCCCCGGGAAAGCGAAGGCGTCGAAGAGGTTGCCACTCAGGTCCTCTCCTGCTGGGGGAACGGAGGCTGAGTCTTCGCGTCCTTCGAGTTCTTCCTTTCGTTTCGTTTCTCTCCGTCTTCCGAACACGTCGAAGGTCAAGGGGCGGTGGTGGTGGTAGTAGACGGCGGTGATGAAGTCCTGGCGGGTAATCTAAGGGGAAGGGGGTGTATTATTATTCGTAAGTCATAAGTGGTTGAATAAGTTATTAGCATTTCGGAGATGTGGTAATGACGTTATTTTTTTAATACATTTTGGACAACATATTTGCATAGGTTTTTGGCACATTTTTTTTATCCCACTTAAACGTTTCCATTTATTCACCACAGTCATCTACTAAACACAACCATCGATATATGCTCAGCTCAAACTAAATGTTATAGTTTTTGTTCATTTGATATAGTCGCGTCCCCATCACAGACACACACACACACACACACACACACACACACACACACACACACACACACACACACACACACACACACACACACACACACACACACACACACACACACACATAGAGAGAGAGAGAGAGAGAGAGAGAGAGAGAGAGAGAGAGAGAGAGAGAGAGAGAGAGAGAATTAGATAAATAGATAGACAGAGATAGCTAGATAGGTAGATAGATAGAGATAGATAGATAGATAGATAGATAGATAGATAGATAGAGATAGACAGATAGATAGATATAGAAAGAAACAGTTCCCAAAGGACAAACACAGAACCACCCACCAATTCACAAACACAAACAAAGACACTTCCTTTTTTCAACCTTCCTTACTCACCTGCTTGTCGCCGAGGAAAAAAGTATATTCCAGGTCACGGGGAAGAAAGTACAAGAAGGAGTGGACTTTTTGCCTGCCGTTCGAGTCGCCAACAAACGCGATCCAGGTCTTTTTGCCCCGAGATGACCTGGCCGCGCTGCAGGAACCCAGGTCACTTGCATTGTAAGGCCGTACCTGTTGGTTAATATTGTGTTTTTATCTTTATTGATTAATGTAGTTTTCCTCGTATACACTCTATTATCATCGTCAATACTATGTTATCAGTATCACTATTATCGTTGTCGTTATTATCACCATTATTAGCATTATTATTATTATCATCATTATCAAAGGTGTTGTTATCATCACCATTACTATTATACCTATCATCATCATCATCATAATTATCATCATCATCATCATCAACATCATCATAATCATCATCATTATCACCATTATCCTTATCATTATCACCATCATAAACTTTCTATAAATAACAACAAAACGAATCAACAACAACAAAAAAAAACATTCGCGCTTTGCAACCTGACCTTGCAAGGGACGTAAGGGATCTCGCCGCCCATAAGGTCAAGTCGTGTTCCGAGGAAGAAGGACGTTTCTCCAGTGCCTTCTGTGCGGGTCAGTAGTGACGGCAGCTTGCGAGCGAGAGAGGCGTAAGGACCATCTGCGGGGAAACGGGGCTGTTATTGTGGTTTTTGCTTTTGTTTCATGTTGATGTTTTGTTGTCGTTGTTGTTCTTCTTATTATTATTATTATCATTATCATTATCGTTATTATAATTGTTATTATTATTACTATTATTATTATCATTGCTATCATTTTACTATAATAATGATCATTATCATTATTAATAATCTTATTATCATTATTGTTATTATCATCATTATCATTATTATTACTATTATTACTACTATCATTACTATTATTATCATAATTATTATTATCATTACTATTATTATCATAATTATTATTATCATTACTATTATTATCATAATTATTATTATCATTACTATTATTATTATTATTATTATCATTCTTCTTATTATTATTATTATCATTATTATTATTATTATTATTATCATCATCATAACAAATATTATCATCATCAATATTATTATTATCATC